CTTCTACTAGTCTTTCATTAAGATTTTTCAAAGTTTGTTTATCCTCCTCTGATTGCTCTACCAACTTCATATTTTTTACCTTTTCTTCAGCAAGTCTTCTAACAAAATCAAGCAATGTGGTTTTGTTGTTATCAAGTTCTTCTACCAAGCTCTCTATTTTGTTGGCATGCTTTTCATTGCATCAACCCTCACAAACTCCCACAGCATCTAAATGGCAACTGGCACTTACTTTTTCAAATTCAAGTTCTTTTTCAAATTTTTGATTGGTTTTTTCTAGAATAGTATTTTTTTCTTTTAGTTCTTTATTTTCTTGGTAGGTAAAACTAATAGCTTCTTCATACTTTTGGGCTTCCTTACCAAAACTTTTAACAATGTTTTCAGGAGTGAATTTATCACTGAAAACAACTCTTCCAATTTCATTTCCATTCTTTTCTGGATAACTTACTCAACCATTTTCAGGTCAAGTAAATCTTTCTAAGGTTTTCAAAGTTACACCAGTATATTCTTCTACATTTTCAGTAAGACCATGAACCGCATTTCAAATTCTTAGTTTAAAATTCTCTTCCTTATCAGTTAATTGCTTTTCTAAATCGGCAATTTTGTCTGATAGTTCTTTGTTTCTTTCTTGGAGATTTGTTATTATGTTTGTCATGATTTTCTTCTTTTAATATACTTATATCCTTAGGGTATGTTAAGTATATAATTATTTTAGTACTTTTTTGCTTTAAAAGTGGAAAAAGCTAACAATATTTGTCAAAAGATTAAAACTTATTAAACATAATGACAGTAAGGGGACAAATTAACAAGTGTGATAAAGTAATGAAGGTGTTTTTGCTCTAAATATTTTATTTGTTGCCAGTATAGAATGGTCTTGGGCAAGTAATATCTTTGTATTCATCTTTCACAAATGGGCGAATATTATTATAAAGGTATTCTTGTCTTTTGTAATCCAAAGGAGGTGGTGTTAACACTAAAATAGATAAAGATTTAATCTCTTCAAAAATATCTGCTTTCTTAGTTTTCAATAAATTGAGTTCAGTAAAAGGACCATTAGCAACTTCTTGAACTTTCACTGTACCAAAATCAGTTGCTTCAAAAAGAAAATGTTGATATTTCTGTATAATTGGTAATTTCTTAAAATAAATTCCCAAAATAGATTTGACATCCAAGTATTGAAAATCTTTTCCACCTTTATAACATTGAGCTTTATTTAATCCAGCTGTGCTAGACTTTTTTATCACCTCAACCACATGATCCAGACAATCTACTCTTGTTCTTCTGTAGAGTTTTTTAATCAAGCCAAAACTACCATCACATTTGAATTTGGTGTGTCCTGGAACCATGAAATTTAGTTCAATGCTTTCATAATAACCACAAATTACTAAATATAAATAGAACCAAACTGTTACAATATTTTTATTTTGTCCACCAGCATTATCACAGGTGATCTTTAAATGCTTTTCACCTTTGTTCAATTTCTTAATTCCATCAAAAATCATACTAAGAGTGCCATTGGGTCCTTTTCCTATAGCTTCATCTTCATTAAGAACATAATTAATTTGTTCCCTTACTGCTTCATCTTGAATACCAAATAAATGAACTTTACATG